TTTTTTTTTAGAATGAAACAGGCTATCGGAAATAAATTTTTAAATGGTAAAAAAATAATAAGACAAAAAATTACGTTGGAAATAAATTTTAGGGGTTGCGTTTTCCACCCCTTACAACCATGGGGTAAACCAAATAAATTACTGGCTAAGTGTCTTTTTGGTAGTAGAAAATGTCAGGTTAATTTCAATATTGTAACTTGTTTAGTGCTTGTGAAAAAAATTGTTAAACAAATTTTATGTACCCCCTTTAAGGGGCTGTATCTTAACAAGGGATGCTCCAATGAAGTTTCTTTATATGAAAGATCCTATCTTTTTTTTCGATGAGGAATCAGCCCCTTAAATGTTTTACACTTATTTAGTTACACCCTGTATAAAGAATAAAATGTAGGTGTTGTTTACCAGTAATCAAATATGTTTGTCGTTCAAATTTTAGAATATCTACTTACATAAACATTTACCTCCGAAGCCCTAGTTTATAAAAGTAAAAAAATATACAGGGTGGACCAATTAAAACATCCACCTGAAATATTTTCAATGCAACAGGTTTTTCCGGAAAACCCAGAAACAGGTTAATTTTGCTTTCAAAGGGGACATCCTTTGATCATACATTTATGGATATAGTCTCATCCCCCTAAACGGGGTCGCAACCCCTTCAAGAATCTTAAATAATACGGGGGGTTAATTGGCGCATCATTTTAAAGGTATTTCAATTCTCTTTACTGAAATGCTAAAATTTTTTTGTTCTGCCTTAAAATTAACGTAAAAAACCTGTTGGAAGTGTTAGTTAAATAAATCGAAAAAGGACTTAAAATAGTAGTAAAAAAACTCACCGAATAATGCAGAATATTTTAGGTGGTGAAATCCATTTATTTGTTATTATTCGCTATTTTGAAGCAAACGATTCAAATTATCATGAATTACACCACTGCAGAGAGAATTGAAATTGTCACTCTTTATTTTCGAGATAATTAAATGTCCCGAGTAACAGCAAAAATTTTTAATGAGAGGCATCCCGGTAAGAATCTCAGCCATCCCTACGTAATAAATTTAATATCTAAATTCATAGCGACTGGATCCGTTGCTAACAAAAAACATGAAGGGCAACACACTGTTACCACAGACAATATAGCTTATCGTCACAGACTGCGTGTTAAATGCTGGAAATTGGTAACCCGAAAAGGATGCAGGCTTTTGTTAGCCGGCATCCATCAATAAAATTTAGCGTGATAACTCTTCTACTTGGTAATAGGCGGCAGTTCTAGCGGTGGCTTTGTTGCCAAATAATAACTGCCAAATAAATTTGATGAATTCAATTATGTAATTAATGAGATATGGAACTTATCTTTTGTTTGGAAATCACATTTATGATAAATGCTCAATAAAATAAATCAAGTTAGAATTAAAACTATGAATTTACCTAATTAATTATTTATTTTATATCACCTTGGAATGGGATAATTCAAAAACTTGAAATTAATGTTTTTAGATTTGTGCATCGACTTCCAATTTGGTACGATATTAACCTCAAGAAGCAGTTGACTACGAAATTTATTTAAAAAAAAAACAACAAATCATCAATCAATATAGAGATAAGATAATGCGTTCGCTACTGTTGTTGCAATTTTTGACTAACTTTTTTGTTTTTCGACATATGGACTTCGGACCTTTTCCATTCAACGCAGAACGGACAATCAGAACCAGGAGTGCGGGGAGATTTTTTTAATTATTTTTTCGATTCAAGGCATCGTTTCCGAGTTATAAACATTTTTTTATTCTATGATGCACACACCGTTGTTACCGATTTTTTTTTTTGTTTTAGACATGCGGACTTTGGACGTTTTTCACTCGATCGCCAATCAGAACCATGGGAGATTTTTTGATATTTCGAGTATTTGCGAGGTATGTACAAGTAAATACTGTTTTTTTTTCTTTCATATATTGTGACCCCCACTCTGCCTCACCCACCGAGTGCTCTACTCAGAACCAAGGGGAGATTTGTTTATATTTCCAGCCATTTCCGAGTTACGAGCAAAAATCGTGTTTTTTTCTCATATGTTGGGATATCGTAGCTGGATGACGAAGGCTAAAAAGACCACGCGCTCTATCCCACGCTCCCTCCCTAGGTGTCCTGAAGATGCTGGGGACGCCCCAAAGACTCCTGAAGACAGCAGAGAGAAAAGCCCTCTATGAGGACAAAGTCACTCTATCTCTATCGCACACAATCAGACAAAAACGACAGAAACGAACNATGGCGGTGTGATAAAAACGGACAAAAACTTTCGCAAGGAAAGAAATATGTAAATAGAATGTTACCGCACCTATTTTACATCGGCAAATTTAACTGCTTTTGCCTTTATTAATTAATAAAATTAATTTGTGTTTTAAAATAATAAAATCATTTGTGCAAATGTGTAAACACATTTGGGTCCGTTGTACTCAGTTTCTACGAACTAACACAAATGTTATCTTGTTTCACCATAACACAAATGCTTCACCATAAATTAAAACGATATCCATCAACTCGGAGTACACGCAAACCATTTTTGACACAAACTACCCATTTGTGACACTAATTACTAAAAACCTGTTGGAAACACCACAGATAGCAAGTAAATATCGCAACGACGATTGCAAAATCCGAATTCAGTATTCGGAGTCGCTGAGACCACGTAGCGAATGACGCGAGAGACTACAGTTGTCCAGCTATGTAGTGGTTGAATGTACTATAACTTCAATATTTTTTTTCTCGGAATTTTTTTTACGATAATGACTCCATTTCTCATGCTGCATCTATTCCCAAATTTTTTTGGATAAGTTGTGAATCACCCTGTATATGTATTTTCTTCAAGTTACCTTTCTATTTGTTTCGAAACTATTGCCTATGTATTTTTTTAAATATTTTTTATACTCAGAAATGTTTAATCGTTTTTTATATACCTAGTTTTGTTTTATATTCTAGACTTTTGCCCATTTCATCTGTTGATAAATTTGCACTCTGTGTTTTATTTAAATTAATATATTTTTAGACATATTCTAGTAATTTCAAACTTAAAATGTTTTTTTTTTCAATCAGGATTTAATCCCATTTGAAAGATAAAGGGATTAATGAATTTGTTAAATATATAAATACAATTTACGACGTTACAATCACTAGTTTGCAAGACTAATTGGTAGGAGAAAAACGTAAAAAGAATGAAACGTTTCATCACCTCCATAGCCATTGGTTTTGCCGTGATGCTACTTGCATCTGCCGAAGGTAAGTTGAAAATATTCTTTTCTTATCCATTTAAAATTTAAATTCAGTGTAGGTATATCTGTTTTATAGTTAACGTTGCAATAGACATTACTACTGGTAAACACAATTTCCAGAAATTGTGGCATGATTATGGTTAAGAAAATATAACCAATGTTTGTATTCAAAAGGTAGCAAAATTAGACGGCTTCTTATGAAGATAAGTTTTTCTGTGATCTTCTTTAGGATAGTGTGGTAACAATATTCATCCATCTTAGTATGCGCAATTCAAACGATTCATTTGACCACTGAATTTTGAATTAAAGAATGTGTCTTTAATGATGAGAAATTTAAATGATATATATTGTGTTCCATATAAAATTCCTAGATCTCTAACTAATTCCTTAACACCTATTTGGGGAGGGGTAACGCAAAGCGTATTCTCTTGGAGCTATAACGGCATTTTCTAAATATTGAAAATAAACTGCTAGCATATCATATGCTTCCACATTCGTGAACAAGGCATTTTCCTTGTTCACAAGTAGGTACTTTTCCAACACAAATATCATTAATTTTGCACGTAGCAACAGCTGTCACATTTCATTTGACATAATTTTTCAGTTGTCTATTTTTATAGGCCGCCTCGTTATGGAAACAATAATCTTTATAAATATTCATATATCTGGAATTAATAAAAAAATGAAACATTGTAGTTATTAAAAAATTTCAAAATAAAGCAAGTACTTTTTTAAAGACAAGCTTGATATAGTTTTACAATTTAATTTTGGCTTGGAATATGTCAATGTCATTTAGAGAACTAAATAAAGGAGGATGTTCTAGCACAACTTTAGCACACTATTTTAGCAATAACTTGAAAAGGAAAAAAGATATCTACCTCCGGTTTGTGTATTTGTTTTCCTCAATAAATGGTCTATCAAGCAATGCAAAAAAACCTATATGATTGCATTTAATTTTTTTAGTAAACGGAAACAATTAAAAATTTTTTCTAATTAGCGTCATCTACCTTTGCGCAGGAAAATAATATTTTTATTCCTATATCATAAATATAAATTTTATTAATACTTCTTTAAAATGAGCCCTCGTTTCTTGAAATCGATTAAGGCATTTAGAAGTTATGACAATTTAAAAATTTCGTCCTTTATACTGGCGTATGGTAATAACAAAAAAAAGTTCAAAAACAAAACTTATGAAGGGTTTAACAGTGTATCTAAAAACTATATTTTCAACTTAGTTTATATAAACGAAAATTTCGAAAAACCGACAATTTTTTGTAACACTATAGCAGATGCGCCCCCTAGCGATGAAGTTACAAACTTGAAAATATTTTAGATCAATTTCTTCTGGCCGGATTTGTTACCCCATAATTGTAGCACGTCTAATTTCCTATATACAGCCGCTCCGTACCGTTAATGAATCACCCTGTATAGTTTCCGACAGATAGTTTCTAACTGAAGTCCTTGTGATTCTTAGCTTTTTTCGCAGAATGCACATTTTACCATTAAAAGTACATCTTAAACCTTAACAAACTTAGAAGCATTGTTAGGAGACAGGTAGCTAAAAGGAATTTAACTTTTCCCCAATAATTACGCAAATCTAATTGTTTAGAAATTAAAGACAAATAACTAGTCCCAGAAAAATTGTGCAGGAAGTAACGAGTTCTGATTGGAAAATCCAAATCTGTAACAGAAGGTTCCTTTTAACGTCAACTAACTTTCTTGAGATATAGATTAACTCCTAATTTTAGCTTCAGTGGTTTCTTTGTATTCAAATTTCACATGTAGGTAATTGCATTTTACAAAGTTTGAAGTCTATATGACTGAATTTTTCTTGAATAACGGATCAAAAACTTTGAAGGACCTTTTTTTGGTCGTTCCAACTGGAGACATCAGCCTTGAAAGTTTGTTGCAACGTCACTGTTGCAATCGTTTTTCATGTTTCTGCAATAGTCATTGGAAATTTCTTCTGCTTCAGTCAAGTGTCCAGAAACATCGGATGATTCCGTCTACTTTCCTCATGAGGCAGAATGTGGAAAATTTTACGAGTGTGCGGGCCGATCACTCGTATTATTTGAATGTCCGCCAGGAACCTACTTTGACACCCGACTGAACATTTGTAACTGGAATGTGGATTGCGGAAATCTGTTGACATCCACTGTTCCACCGACTACTCCTGCAAAGGAAGAGAATGAGGAATAACATGTACTGCCATTTCTACTTCGATTTTGATTTTTGTGATGAAATAAATTTATAAGTACTTAGGGTGCCGTTTTTTTTTATTTTAAGATGAAAGTATAGAAAAAAGTTATGAATGATGAAGAATATAAATAAGATTGTGTGGTTATACATAAATTTCCATCTATACTTTATGCTGATTATATGCGAAAGGATAGTATAAACGTACTCAATTAATATAATTTTAATGCTTTATCTAGTTGTAAACTATAACCATCACGCACGTGTAGCGAGGCTTATAGATTATGGTAATTTTGAGATATACGCTAATTTCTTTATCTTTTTGAAAAGCATATTAAAATATTATTGTACGTAATAACACTTACTTGAGTTATTACTTTTGTGAAATTATACCTACTGAGACATTAAACATACAATGTAAAAAAAAATTCACTTGAATTCACTTCATTTTTTGTCCACACCTGATTGAGTGAAATTTTCACTCTTTTACTCAAATCCGAGTTTCTTCTGACTATCAAGTGAGTGACTATTATGAGTATGTATATGAATTAAATTTAACTATTATTGATTAATTTTGTACTATGAAAATTTCCAAGGGG